GTATCATTAATTGAACACAAAACCCTCATCAAATACACAAATAAATATCGAACTCACGCTCCTCGACAATGGCATTCCCTTTCAGCTATGTGTGTGTGTGTGTGGCGAATATATGTGCGATGTGTGCGAAATGTTGTCTCGAAAAACATACAAACACGCACATAACCACACTGCCAGAGAGAATGTGGATTCTTGGTCACACGTTCCTTTTTCGCTCACGGTGGTTTTCGGCCTCACTGCATTTTCGATAAAACTTTTACCAAAATGGAAATGACACACGTTCACCATCTGAAGACATATGCAAACAACGGCTCGTATCGTCAAACTGGCTGATTGGTCTGTTCGGTGCTTGTAAAACATCGTTAAAACAAATGTTTGATCAGCCAGCAGCAATTTCTCTCTGTGTGTATCCCCCCCATCCACTCGATATCACATTCACCAGCAGTGTGCATGAGGATATCAATCAATACTTTAACATTTAACCAGATTGAGGCGTATTTTTGGTCATTTGTTGGGTGCCGTAATTGTTTGGTATGCAAATTTAAGATTCCAAACCTCGACGATGATAGTACGAATCAATAGTAATCGAATTCAAATCCTTGTTGCCTCGCATATCAAGTACGATTGCTGTTGAGCTTTAGCCATCAGAAACACAAGCCAAAAATCATTGTTCAAGCAAAATATGAAATATTTCCCAACAAATAAATAATCATCGTTCCCTAGTATATGCATTTAGATAACCGAAATCCGAAATCCGAAATCAAAATCAATTCATTTTAATTAAAGGCGCTTGATGTTACACATACTGCATTTCAGTGCTCGTTTGACTTTAGATCCACACTCCAACGTCTCGCAACCTCTATTGAAACTTGCATTGCGGTTCGTTGAATAGTGGCACGAAAGCTGAAAATTATCAGCATCGCTTCTGGTGCAATACAATTTTGATTTCGATCTCGAGTTAATTGAAATGTCTTTAAGAATATATTCATGTGTTTCATTAATTGTTCCACTATCTAACGACGTCCATTTGCCATGCACATATTCTCTCTTTCGATGCATGTGTGTATGTGTGACTCGTGTTTGAGCCGAAGCCAAAGTTAAAGCCGAAAAGCAATGCTGTCGGTGAATTGCAAGATAAAATGATATAATGCCAGGGAATATTTCATAATAAACGATTTCACGATGTTGAACAATTTTCGGAAGCGCCCGTTCCCGGTTTCCGAATCTATCGCATTGCATTCATATTTCTCCTTGTCTCATCGTATCTGTGTATAATAACGGAATATGCAGTGCGATGCTCATGCAATCGATAACGTCTTTTGTGTGCACATATGCACATGTAATCCCAAGTATCTATTTATCGTGCATTCAATGGTTTCTGCAATTTTCCGAATCAAAATTGAAAATTGAAATAAATTCATTAATCAAGAAGATTTATACTAATCGAATATTGCTATAGTCGCAGTGGAAGCGAGCGAGGGCAATCAGCCTGAAAATAGCAATGTGACACCAAAAATTATTTGTGCCATTGAGCCTCAAAATGCCTCTTAATCGAATTCATTTCGGCCGAACGCATTTCATTACCGGCTATTCGATTCGCAATGCAAACGACTATTGATTTACCATAATTTCAAATCAATACGTATGGCGATAAACACAAGCATCGAAACATTATTCACCATGGTGACATTTGCTCTACCGCTCGTCGAGCACATATCTTTGGTTTAAAATCTTTGGCATTGTCGTTTGTCATTATTCTCTAACCAAATCAGCCATCGAATTGGTATCTTCATTTTTCAACGGCACAAATTCTTCCATGAACCGCCAATGTAAATCCCGTTTCGGTTTTTTTTCTCCATCGCCACTGTGTTCACTCGTCGAATCCCTCGCAATCCCATCGAATCCATACACAGCCGCATACACACACATATCGTCGGCACATTGACATCAAACCGACGTTGCATAACAATACCGAAATTTGCCTTTTAGCGATATATTATTGTCAGTTTCGACTATTGTTGTTTATAAATGTTTTATGAACGACTGTCGAATTCGTGAATCTTTCTGACTTGAATTGTATTCGGTGTGCGCTCGAGGTGCTGCTCCATGATACGGCTTATGCAGGCACGGAACCCACAACAGCAAATGGAAAGAGATAAAACCTTGTACAGAAAAAATGCGAAAGACGGAAAAACACGAAATTGATGATTGTACTTCGACTGTCTTGCTTTTCCCCCCAGTGTATGTAAAGTTTACAGTTTCTTCACCACACTCTCTTCATTCGAATTGCACCCTTTTTGCATCCACACAACGCAATTTGGTTATTATTTTAATGTTTATGTACACCGCAATGGTAACATTTGAATATTCAGCATGTGTGCTGCTCACATGACTCTTTTTTTCCTCTGTCATTTGGAGCTGTCAGGGTTTGGTGGCGATGAATCGGCAATCTTTTTCGCATTCATTCACTCAGTAATCGTATAAGTTTCGATCCTTGCCAAAAAATATGAGTATGTATTCTCATTTTTTTCCTATTCTATCCATTCCAAAAGTATTCTTGCCATTTTTCACCGTTTGTTTGCAATTGAATAAGATCGTAACGATGCTCATCGGCAACGGTGAATACAATGGTGAAAACGAAGCGCTTGACAGTACTCATGCTAAGCCATGGTGAAATGGGAGCACACGCCAATAACAAGCTATGAAATGAATGAAAAATTGAATTGTGAGTGCTCAATATGCTGCCGCGTCTGAAGAATGAGAGCCACAGAATTTGGGTTTGAGCTTGAATCGTCTGCATTTTGTGTGCACAAATATTTTCATAGCTCAAGAGGAAATTCATGATATATTTTTCCAATCAAAATTAGTTAAGAGAAACCTTACACACAGACAACACCGTCGTCGTGGTCGTCCGACATGCATGTGAATCGCACATTCGAATAACGTGAATCATACAAAATATAAATGAAATAATAAATATATTGTTCACTGTTTGATTCGGCAATGCCGTTCAACAATTTGCTATGGTTTTGCTGATCCGTTAGCTCCCTTGCTCCGATTCATCGATTTTTTTGGTCCACGTCCGTATAATTACCATCACATACACAGCAAATGAAGTATCTTCGAAACGAGACTCCGCTCATATCTTGCCAAACGTGATAGTCAAGTCATCAAACAAGCCATTCATAATTGAACGGATACATTTCCACAGAAAATTATTTTCGGGTTTTTGTTTTTTGTTGATTCGAATCATTTTTTTTTGTTCGAAGCAACCCCCGAGCATATATAGGTGTATGGTGTTTTCAGTCGAATTGGCGAAACCAATACTGAAGAATTTCAGAGAATGTGAATTGATGGCGACGACCGAGACAGAACAAAAAAAACACGACCGTCTCTCATACACCCACACAAAACTGATATCTTATCTGAAACGTGAACCCAGCATTTATTTGTACACCTGATTTTGATGACTGAAAAGAGCCACTTTTGTGATTTCCATACAATATTTGATAAATTTGCCCGCAAAATAATAATTACAATTCCGTTTCGATTCGCTGTGCTCGACCAAGTACCGCATAGAATGGGTAGACGGGTGTAGCGTCTGAGCGCATCGTTGCCAATTCATTTTCGGCGGGCGAGCACAACAACTTTTACAATTATATTGATTACATTTCCATGGCGGTGGCAATGCGACGTTGAGCATTGGCGGCTTTTAACCATCGCGCCGCATGGAATGAGACAAATGTGTGATGACTGTGATTGAAGCAGATACAAAATCGTCGGTTATTATTATTTATATCGGATTGATAGGGGTGCAAATAAGATTCGAAGAATGATCACTTTGGTTTTGTCAAAATGAAAGCGAACACAGTGCCTCAACCCATCTATAGCATTGGCACACAGTCAAGCGTGTTTACCGCACACACACACATACTCACAAACTCATCTGCGAAAACAACGATTTTGATTTATCGTCCTTTTAAAAGACGAGAACGGAAAATTAATGAATCGAATCCGTATCGAATTCATTGTTTTGGTTTTCGCATGTAGTTTGATGTTTCCGAAATAAACAAGTGCAAATACTCGGTATTCGTATGCCATTCCCAATCACTCAACTCGATGTCGTTTACGCTTGGTGCTGCCTCTGCTGCTACTGCTTTTGTTGTTCGTTGTGCGGAATTTTATCAAATCAGTGCGCGTCTTTGTTGTAAATTTGTCTGCAATAAACGGTGCGGCGTACATTGTGCTTGCCTCAAAATTTAAACGAAAATATGATTGAAGTTTGCGAATGTGTATCGAATAATTAATTGAGACGGTTATGTTTTGTGTGGAAACATGTCTCGAGCACACTGAAGAAGACACAGCATCTCGTCTGCATGGGATAAATAGATATGAACGAGCACTTGAAAGTGCAAAAACCTATACGCGGATATGAAGCAATTTCGATGGCAATATAAGATGTTTTTATTAATTATTTTGACAATTTAATGGATATTGATTTTGATGGGAAGTTTTTTTTGCTTTCACCCTTTCTGCTTTGCCATAAGCGCCATCTGTTCCAAACTATATTGACGACAATGTAAAGAAATGTTTAGTCGAAATCAATTCTGATGTTGTGATGCGTTGCGTTGTGTTCAGCCCGTACCATATTGTGGCATCGTCTTGCCAAAACGCAGACAGACAAGCTCCTTGTGAAACATGTGTTCGGTGCAGATGATGCTCTTAAACCAAACCAAACCAAACCAAACCAAACCAATCTATCGCAACAAATCGGTCGTTACACTCTGTCAAAACGGATGAATTTTTATCGCTGTCAACAATAATGAATTGTCTATTCGCTAGACACACACTCAAATATAATAAAATCCCAATCCCCATTTTGTGTTTATTTACGAATATAAACTAATATTGATGCGATGCGAATAGGAACAATGTTCGCTTTCATTTCAATTTTCAAGTGAATTTAATTGGATGTCATTTTGTCTCCTGTTTATTTTCAGATTGTAGCATTACTTGAAGAAATCTCTAGACTGAGAAGCGCATTGGCCGCATTGCAGGAATCGCACAATCTCCGAATAGAACAGCTCGAGGAACGACTTGAAGCCAAGCGACAACACATATCGAGACTCGAAGCACGTTTGGACAAACAAACCGACTACGATGACGTGAAAAAGGAAAATCGGTAAGAAATAAACCAAATTCACTTGCTTCACGTGAATTGTAAACAATTTGCATCCCAAATCAACATTTGTGCTGTCCTTAAAAATTGGATCAACATCTGAATTGCACTTGTTTCATCGGCAAAGAGGTCCTAAACGGAGTCATTGTGTCGACACAGACGTCATATAACTTGAAAGCAAATCATTGCATCAATTTACATGTTTGCCGGGGAAACACAAATGTGAACAGATATCGGCAACATCAAAAATTGCCGACTTCTCAATGCCCACATTTGTTGGAAAGTGCCCCCTTCAATAAAAGCATATTCCAAAAAAAAACAAGATTCATTTTATGATTGTTGCAGTCATAAAAATCACAATCACTTTCATTGTACCGAAAAACGCCCAAACAGACAAAAAATAAAAACAATGCACAAAAAAGGATATTCAAACGGCAAATATAAATACTGATAAGTTTTCTTTTTTGTGATTTTTATCTCTTTGTAGATCCGGAGACGTACAATCGGAATCAAAACAATTTCAAGAACTACTATTGGAGCGAACCAAGGCATTGGCGGCTCAAGCAGAAGCACTCAAATCAAACTCAGATGGTAAGTTTCGTTGGAAAAAGAAACATGAACAAGAAAAAAAAAAATACTAATCCACAAATATTTATTCGTAAAAAAGAATTTATGTTGAAGAAAACGACTAACGCGCATTTTGTTTGATGCTGTTATTCTTTTATATTGTTGTCTGTGTTTTTGATTATATTATTCTCTCTATCATTTCGAAATTAAAATTTTTAATTGATTTGATTTCGTCAGATATTTGAATGGTGTTTGTATGCATGTGTAAAATCGGCGGCTATTCGTGCTCAGAACGATAAATTATTATGAAACTTGCAACTCAAAGTCAAATGCATATGAGTTGGTACATTGTATTTCTGCCACACAAATTGGCAGCCCATTTCCTAATTAAATTCTTGCAAATCCGCATACTCACACCGTTCATTTATCGTACACAATTTATATTTGGACGCTAGACGATGCAAAAATTATAAACGCAAAATTCACACACTCGTCATTCAACGCAATTAATGACCAAAAAAAAATTTTGTTCGCATTCTCCGCTCACTCTCTCCCTCTCTCTAATCATAATTCTGCACATATTCTCTGCCACAAAAACGGCACAAAAGGAAGAAGAAGGGGAATTAAAGGTAGAATTTTAATCATGTTCTCACAGACAGGCAGACACACGAAAATCGTTTATTAAAACAATTAAATTCCGTAGTTGCTCAATAAATGAAATCATTTTATTGTTGCACTTTTTATTCATTTGTCGTGGTTTGGATCTGTGCGCTGGCTGCAAAAACACCGAAAATGCTTCCAATCCAAAACCCAGTGCATATAATTTGATCTCAATTTAGAAGAGAGGCGGAAAAATAACAACAACAGCGAAAGAAGTGGAAAAAATCGGGTGGATTTGTTGTCTGCAAATGTCTTAGCACTTAGCAATAATGCAGAATTATAAATGCGCATAAATAGATTTTCCACAGCATAATGAAATAAAGTATTTAGAGTTTGCTTGTTGTAAATTAAATGCAAACATTTCCATACATGTGTATGGCAGATCGGGTGCAAACGAGAGAGATACACACACAAAGAGAGAGAATGACTGGCTGAGTGTGTTCCGAGTAAGCTTAGCGCTGTTGTTTTTATTTCTCGCCGATTTTCGTCAGTTTGTTTCATTTCGTTCCGTTTGGAAATTGGTTTATGTGTGTTGGGATGTTTGTTGGTTGCTCGCTGCTCATTCGAACAATGCAAATGATTTTCCCATGCACCGGTTCTTTGGGCCGCGACTGAAAGAGATATAGAGAAAAGATTGGTTGCAACGCGACCACATTCATTCTACACGGCATCACCAAAACGCACCAAACCATTTTCCATTGCACGATATTTTATTCAACGCAGCAGCAGCAATAGCAACAGCACCAGCAATAACAACGGTAGTTGAGCTTCAGCACAAAATTTATAAAAAATTCATACAACAAGAACAACAACAAAAAATCGCGCCCGAACAAAACGCACCGAAATACACCAACTCCAAAGAAAATGTATTTAATGTGGTAGTATTTCATTTTTCGAATGACGATTTCCATTCATTCATTCAGAAGAAGAAAATTACATATGGAAATATTTGCGTGCGCGCTCGACTAGCAAACGACTTGCAAAAATGTTTCCCATTGGCTTTAATTGCACCGTGCAAATCAAATGGAATGCCATAAAAAATATAGAAAAATAAATGCGTTACAATTGCAAAAGAGATAGAGACGGAACAATCGTAACATGTATCCATTGCTGACGTGATGTGGTAACTGAACGAACAGAAAAACTAACAACAACAAACCTTTGGCTGACTTTTATTCTAACACATTATCGATTAATTTCCCACCATTCTATTATGCGCTGGCTTGTGATCTCGATGCCAAAAATAGACATGCAGAAATACAAAACAAATATTCTTTCTTGTGATTCGATTTTTTACTTTGAATTATCGCCCTTGAACCATTTAATCCATTGTTTGCGTCGACGATCGTGTAATTTTTCCCATAGACTTTAGCGTTTATTCTTCTTTTTTTTTATTCAATCATGTTGTAATCGTGCTTGTGCGCACACAAACACATATACAGAGAACAACCACCACAATGTTTGCTTGCATGATACAGATTTGTTTGCAATGATGATATGAAGAAATCGGCTGTCAGATTAATACGAAAACTGATGCATGATTTTCATTGCTATTTGTTCAATTCTTTCGCATTAATCAGAGAAAAATGTAAACAATGACATGCACCGTTCGAAATGAAAAGCCAATTCGCAATGGTATTTTTGTGTGTGTTTCTTTGTTTGTCTCAATGCTGAGCAAAGAATACAAAACGAACGGAATTGAGAAAAATACACGAAAAATTGATTCAATTAACAATTAATTTATTAGTAATTATCGTTTTTGCCTCGTTTCACGATCTATAGTTTTCCATTTACTCTACTCGGCAGTCATGTCACTCATGATTGCCATGATTTCCTTTCATTTTTTTTTAAATTGTTCGTTATTTCCAATCTTTTTTCCTCTCTCGTTTCGTACATTTTATTGACATAAAGACATGTTTATTGCATGTTTTCGCTCACGTGTAGATTTCATTTGGACATAATTTAATAATTTTTTTACGTATACTTGAAATAACTGTAAGCAATGCTTAATAAATTTCAAGTATAATTGGATGTGGTGTTTTGTAACAATTTCATAACAATTTTTTTCTGCCTTATTTTAAATTAAACGAAAAAAACAAACAAACAAAAACCAAATCCAAATCCACCAAGTTCTTTTTTGTGTCACCACTAAAATATTTTGCATTCCCGTCCACTTGAATATGTGTTACAGGCTCGTATTCAGCTGTAACCATTCCACAAGAAAATCATGCATCCCCACCGTTAACTGTCACATCAGTATCGACACCAATGACAAATGCAAACGCAAAAAATACCAATCCGTTGGTCGGCCGTAATAAAGATATGATATTGGCCGGTAGCTCGATGTTGCCGTCAGCATTGCAAACTGTCGACACATTCGGATCATTTTTGGGCGAGGAGATAGTGTGCAATTGGCGTAGAGGTTTTGAGCTTCCGCCGAATGTAGCTCAAATGCATCCTGCAGCAGCAGCAGCAGCAGCCGCCGCCGCAGCAGCAGCTACAATGCAATCGACCTATCTAAACTCGGCCGAAACGCATCGTTTGCAATCACACCATAACAGCATCAGCCAAAATGCCAAAGCAATGGACACTAAAACTAATACGATTTCAAATTCTTTAGATGATCATGGAAATAGACAGGATGACAAAAGCAGCCATCATGATGCATCCTCCACAGCAAGTACGCCAATTCTTCAGGATTCGCGCTACGATGATAATCAGAATGGTGGTATGACGCCGATGTCGTTGCCAATTTCGAAGAGCCCGCAAGAAGATAATAATAATCATTTGGGCGCATTGCCGCATGGTCCTAGTTTTCCACTTGGTTTGCCGTTCCATCATCCGATGCAAGAACGTCCACATTATCGCTTCAGCGACGAATTACAATTGACTCCCGGTTCGATGGCCGGACGGCTTGGCGACTCCCTTATACCAAAAAGCGATCCCATGGAGGCCAAACTACAAGAAATGCTGCGCTACAACATGGACAAATATGCAAATCAAAATCTCGATACATTGCATATATCGCGACGCGTACGAGAACTACTGTCAGTGCACAATATTGGCCAACGTTTGTTCGCCAAATATGTGCTCGGGCTATCACAGGGCACCGTCTCTGAACTACTATCAAAACCAAAGCCATGGGATAAACTCACTGAAAAAGGACGTGACAGCTATCGAAAAATGCATGCCTGGGCATGCGATGATAATGCTGTTCTATTGCTGAAATCATTGATTCCCAAAAAAGGTAAGTTCACTTTTTTCTACTCAATATTTGTTGTTGTTTTTTTTCCACATAAATTCCCCATTTAGACAACACGACATTTTCATCTGACATTAGTTGCTTTTTTCGATTTTACTTTCACCAACAATTGTCCCGATGACAACATATCCGAAAATTGAAAATTGCCAGCGAGATTAACAGTTTTTCGTTTAGCAACCTCTCCGTAGATTTGTTTTTCCCTCCCTGGCTATATGATAAATATTTGAATAAATCGTCGCATCCAGACAGTTTGCTAATCACCTTTTTGCTGTCTAAAGTTCGCTAAATTCTAATATCTGAATAAGTTTAATCAGTCTCTGTTGACACTCGGTTGCCAACTTTTTCATATGATTTCACAACAGCAGCAGAACGAAAAAAATATGTGAAAAACATCATGAACAAGTGAGTTTATGAAATGAAATCAAAAATTGGTTTCATGTGTCGAAAGTTTTCTCACATATTTCTCTCGGTTTCCCTATTTGCCATGTACCGGAATGCGCTGGCAGCAAAGCGTGAATACAAATAATCATAATGGCGTGAAGTTTCGAAGCCAAATTATTGAAACTATTCTTAATGCACTCAAAGCGACTATTTATTCGACCACATTATTGCCGACAGAACACTGTCAATCGGAATTGCGGGTCGCGCAACACCTCTCACATTCATAACAATGATTTTGGTTCCACTCTTGACTCCCATTTCTGGTTTTCTTGCATTACATCTTGTGCGTTGTGCTGCAATCAAAATCACCATTTAAACCGAACGGATTTCCGATTCATACTCATGCTCTCATGGGTTTTCATTTGTTCGACCATTTCTTTTTTTTGTGCGACTGTTCTGCTCAACGTTGTATTCGTTCAATAACGTTATTATCGGAATCAGTCAGCCATTCACCGTTTTCTTTTATGAATTCATATAAAAATAATTGGTCCGCGTCTATCTATCGGATTTATAATCCTTTTGAATCTCGGCATTCACTGACAAGTGCACACGGTTTTCATCAGACTCTCCACCGTTTACTTTACGAATATTTTTTTGCCGCATTTGTTCTGTCATTTCACATTCGGCGATCATCAAGTAGACCGAGATTAGTGAATTGGCAATTCGTTTGATATCGCTGGCTCGCACGTTGCACCATTCGTAATTTGTTTATGAGAAGTGCCCATGATTTGTCAATCACTTCGATTCGATTGCATTGAAAAAACTGGGATTGCAAAAATAATCCATCGCTTCATATTCATTAGGTTTTCGACTCATATCTTTCAATAGACGAATATCCCGGTGCGGCTTCTCATCGCAAGTCGTGTGCTTCCACTTGACAAATGAAAAATCCATTTCATCGAGTTCATTTTTTCCGCATTGACTGCTTTATCGAATGGCGATGGGTTTTTTTTTGTGTGTGAAAACATTCACAATTCACTCGGACTCAATGCTGCTGAGATGAGTAACTTGTGAATGCTCTTGAGCCCGAGCAACGCCAACCTTGCGATGTGATCCGATTATTAATTTCCTGTGTTTGTAAATGTGTGTGTGTGTGTGGTCGATCGAATATGCATATCTATTCACCTTTGCATTGAACCAGTGAATCTCTCTGTGCACTCTGACTTCGTGCAAGTTTCGTTGCATTGCCATTATTCATCTAAATTTCCGACTTTATTTACGTTTGTCGTTGCAAATGGTCCCGATTGTGCAAATGCACTTTTTTGTCATTCCGTTCGACAACGACGACGACGACGATGACAGCGGTAGTGGCATTGGTTTTCCCAAATGCATTCAATGCTTTGGCTAAATGTGTGTGTTGCCACCATTCGTTCAGTTGATTCGATTCCAATCCCCACACATTACATGGCAACGATTGAACTTTTCAATTGATTCATTTAGTTCAACACAACGGATTTATGCGATGAGGACGCGATTCAGCGTGTACACAAACAAGAATTACGAGTGTACAGCACTCAATGGCCGTTTGTTCACCATTCTAATGCACTTGGCTTCGATATAGCGAATGCGAATGAATTGGAGAAGAAGAAAAAAAAGGCGAGGACAAAGCGAAAAACAACAGGAAATGGAACACAACGTATTATGACAGTTAAAATATGCGGCTTTCTTTCGGTTGTACATTTTTTGCGAGACTCGTCCATGGATTTCCGAATGCGAGTATGGCTCTCAATGGGCAAATATTTTCGACAATTTTCCTTGATATTTCGTGGTCGGCCAAATTCGAACTAAAATTTAAACGGATTGATACACAACTTCAAAGAAAATTAATTAAAAAACATGGCCCGAATGCGATTGGGTGCTCGAAGAATGCGGGTCAATGTTTAGGTTAATGGAATACGCGCTAATTAAATGGGAATTTTCTATTACGGGACATTTTCAATGTGTTCCATTTTGCCTCAAGCGAAACCGTGTATATGTATGTACAAAACACGACTGAGTTTCATTAGGTTCGTGTTTTTATGCACATATACAATTTCCTGATCCAATAGTTAAACTAATGGCGTTACTTCAAAGGAACGACTCGGGAAAAGGGTTAAAAACCTTGAATGATGGCGAATTAAGGCTTCAATTTAGAAAAAAAAGAACACGTAACCGAATAGATTGTGAATTAAGAGCGAGTGAGTGAGTACCGCATTTGCAGTTATCTAATACATTGAAGGATCAAAAGGTCAAACGAATGAATTTTCAAAAATGGTTTAGTTTTTAGAACTGCTGCCGAATGAAACTAACGAACACCTATTTAATTGGAGAAATGGAAAAATGGCAACTTCAACACCAAAAAATACGTTTTGTTTTCATTCACCTCAGTCTATCTTTCCCTACTTGAACAAAGAAAAAGTCGATTCTCCCGTATAATAGCTGTTGTTCGACATTTTATATAATACCAAATTTATTCCATTTAATATTGTGTCAAAATACTTTTGCGAGTCCCAAACAATGCCCACTAGCTCTCCATCTCATTTGAATTTCTATGCAAAAATGTATTTATATTTCAACAATTTAATATTCAACCAAATTTTCAGAATTTCACCAAATGTAATTTAGATTGTTGTGTTTGGGTGAACGAGTGAGTGAGCGCTTGTTGGGCATTCGAATGAGAATTTCATTGGTGAAAATATCTCTCTGGCAACGTTTTCATTTCTTTTTCTTTTTCAAAACAAAGTATACTCATAAAAATAGATTAACGCACATTTAATGTGAACATTGTTCAACGATAATAGATTCGAACGGCAAGGCACATGATTTGAATGAAGTATAGATTTTCCGAAGTCAAAGACTCAAAGCCATAATGAATGGATGAGATAACGATGGCATTGAGCGAAGGGGGTAAATTGAAGATTAGATACCAAATGTTATGTTCAACCAGCATAATGTAGTTATCGCTTAAAAATAGGGTTTGGTTTTTGGTCATTTTCATACGATGCACAGTTTACGTGAGGCTCATTGAGCAGTGTGAATGGATGTGTCGTCGGTCAAGCGAAGCATTTGCCTCGCTCCATACGAACTGACTAACTACATCTCAATGACGCCAAACCGGACCGATTCGAAGAGGAGCAACGAGCAAATTTGGTAAATTCTCTAATGTTACAATTTTTCGTTCGGCTCCAAAAACCCTTCACTCAGTTGCCCAACTCTTCACCAATTATGCCGACATTCTTGTGTGCACATTTGATTCGAGCACAGCTATAGTTTGAATTACACCACATTTTCTATAACTATCGAAAAAAGGACCAAAAAGAAATATGTATGGTGTCGGTCAAATCCATTTGCTGGTGTACATTCTTTTTCAACATCGCACAAACTGTTTCGTATTCGAAGAGTTATATCGTTGAAATTTTTAATGAACATCGTTCGTTATTCGAATAAAATGGCAAGTAAATTCCATTTTTTGTCGATGGGTCTTCTGAACGGCCCAATAAATTTGTGCCTTTCGGATGCGATGAGGCAAATGAGGAGATAGTTACAAGGATCCTCTTAGCCCAAGAGCGTGTGTAATTATCCAATAAACTGGTTGAGGGTTAATTTTTTCTTCTCTCGCCGGAGTTCATGGGCCAGGTTAATTGTTTGATAATACATATTTGCCGAATGCAAACGAGCATTGAAACGAGAAGGATGGCGCTGGTTTTAATTAAATGTCTTACATTTCATCGGATAGTTAATAGTTGGTTTCGAATCAATTAAAATAATTTGTCGTTTTGAATTTAATGACAAAATAACGAGAAGCTATACCAAACAGAATTTCGATCGCATTGAGAAAAAAATCCCGACACATGCCCAATATCAAAATGCTGGCAAATTACTGAAAAATTCATTTTGATGGAAGTCAATTTCAGCGTTCTAATGTTGAATCAAACATTAATCGTTTGGCATGTAGCCAATTTATCGGACGCAAAAACATGTGTCGTGGCAATTTTTTATGCTCGTTTTTCAACGCAGCGGAAAATAAAACTTTGTCATTTTATTGCCAATGATAAATTACAAAATAAATAATTTAGGCGTTTTAGTTTAAAACACGGTTAATCCTAGATCGAATATGATTGAAGAATGTATGTGTTTGTTGCTCGAGCGGCGAGACGATGTCTTATGATGATTCAAATATCGTACACATTTTTAATATATTTTCGATTACTTTGAGCCATAGACAAACAAGTGCGCGCGCTCGTAATTGATTGCTCGATTTTTACATGAGCGAATTGCCCTCGACTGATGCTAATGCCATGTCTAATAAAGAAGGCACGTTCATTTCCGTTGACATCAAACGATTTATTTTTTCTCTTTTACACGCACTTTTTCTACCTTGGCGATGAAATATTTGCTCATAACACAACTTCATCTTTCTCATTCTTGTTTGTAAACTTTTTTTCCCTTCGCTTCAATTTGATAAAGATTACGTGGTAAAATATGCGTTGTCTTTTTATGTTTAAACGAGGGGACATGTCATGCGAATTTTTCAACAACGATTGAAAACACTCCCGTGATAAAGA